TCATTCTCTGCAATGTTGTCCATAGTTTGTCATGATCCACATAGTCAAAAGTGTTTGCATAGTAAATAAAGAACAGGTGAACATCTTTTTGATATTCTCTGCTTTCAGTAAAGATTCAATTGACATCATCAATGATAGCCTCGTTCCATGTCCTCATCTGAATCTGGCTTGAACCTCTGACAGGTCCTGTCAATGTACAGTTGTAGTCATTTTTGATTATTCTTAGAAAAATTTACTTGTATGTGATGTTAATGATATTGTCCAATGATTTCTGCATTCTGCTGGGTCATCTGTCTTTGGAATGGGCATAAATATGGATCTCTTCCAATCAGTAGGCCAGGTAGCTGTCTTCTACATTCCTTGGCATAGACGAATGAATTCCTCCAGTGCTGCATCAGTTTGTTGAAAGATTTCAATTTGTATTCCATTAATTCCCATAGCCTTGTACTTTGCCAATGCCTCAGTGTACCTTAGACTCTTACTTCAGTACCATTATCCCTTGTTGTTATTGTTGTTATGTTACCATTGACTCTTCATAATATGTCATCTCTTGAAATGGCTGAACATTATTCATTTATTTTTGGTACAGTGACTCTATGTATTCCTCCCATTTTCTTATACTTTCTGTATCATTCAATATTTTACCCATAGAGTCTCTCAGTATTTAAGTCGAGGCTTCAATTTTTTTCTTCAGTCTCCTCAGCTTGAGAAATGCTGTGTGTGTTCTTCCCTTTTGGTTTTCTAACTCCAGGTCTTTGTATATATCATTATAATACTTGACTTTTTCTTCTCCAGCTGCCCTTTGAAATTTTCAGTTCTTTTTGTGCTTTCTGATTTCTCTTTGCTGGAGAGCTAGTTTCAGAGTCTCCTGGCACGCATCTTGGTCTTTTCTTCTTTCTTGTCTTGTTAATGGCCTTTTGCTTTCTTCCTGTATGATGTGCTTGATTTATTCCACAACTCAGATGGTCTTGGGTCAATAGTGATAAATGTATCAAATCTTTACTTGAGTTGGTCTCTAAATTCAAGTGGAATATGTTCAAAATTATATTTTGGCTTTGTGGACTTGTTTTAATTTTCTTCTCCTTTAGCCTGAACTTGCACATGAGCAATTGATGGTCTGTTCTACAGTCTGCCCCTGGCCTTGTTTTGGCTGATGATATGGAACTTTTCCACCGTCTCTTCCCATGTAGTTGTTAAGTGGCGTTGAGTCAACTCCGACCCATAGTGACCCTGTATAGGGTTTCTGAGGAGCAGCTGGTGAGCTTGAACCCCCGACTTTGTAGTTCAAACGTCTTTGCAGTCTAGCGCATTAACCCACAGCACCACGCCAAGTCTCTTCCCATAGATGTAGTCAATTTGATTTCTGTGTATTCCACCTGGTGAAGTCCATGTGTACAGTTGTCTTTTATGATGTTTAAACAAAGGTATTTGCAATGAATAAGTCATTGGTATTGCAAAATTCTATCATGCCATCTCCAGCACTGATTCTATCACCAAGGCCATATTTTCCAACTGATGATCCTTCCTCTTTGTTTCCAACCTTTGCATTCCAATCACCAGTAATTACCAATACATTTTGATTGTATGTATGATGAATTTCAGAATGAAGAATTTGATAGAATTCCTCAGTTTCATCATCACTGGTTGGTCTGTAAATTTGAATAATAGTGGTATTAACTGGTCTTCCTCATTGTTAGTTGCTAAGTGCTGTTGAGTTGATTCTGACTCATAGCAACCCTTTATAGGGTTTCTGATGAGTGGCTGGTGGGTTTGAATAACCAACCTTGTGGTTTTATGTCTAGTGCTTATCCTACAAAAACATTCCAGGGATCATCCTTGTAGGCATGTGTATATTACCCTATTACAGATTTTTGTTGTTAGGTGCCATCAAGTTAGTTCCAACACATGGCAACCCTATGTACACCAAACAAAACACCGACCGGTCCAATTGTTGCTATGCTTGAGCCCATTGCTCCTGCCACTGTGTCAATCCATCTCACTGGAGGTCTTTCTCTTTTTTGCTGACTCTCCACTTTACCAAAAGTATTGTCCTTCTCCAGGGACTGGTTCCTCTTGATAGTATGGCCAAGAAAGTCTGACCATAATGGTTTCTAAGGAACATTCTAGTTGTGCTTCCTCTAACACAGACTTGTTTGTTCTTATGGCAGTTCATGGTATCCTTAATATTCTTCTCCAACACCATAACTCTAATGCATCAATTCTTCCATGTTCTTCCTTATTCACTGTCCAAATTTTGCATGTATAGGAGGCTATTGAAAATACCATGGCTTGGGTCAGGTGCAGCTTAGTCCTCAAACTGACATCTTTGCTCTTGAACACTTTAAAGCAGATTTGCTGAATCCAATATGTCATTTGATTTCTTAACTGCTACACTTCCATTAGTGTTGATGGTGGATTCAACGAAAATGAAGTCTTTGACAACTTCAGTGTTTTCTCCATTTAGCATGTTGTTATTTACTGCTCCAGGTGAGTAATTTTTTTTTCTTTACATTAAGGTTCAATCCATACCAAAGGTTGTGGTCTGTGATCTATACCAGGAAGTATTATAAATCCATTTTGCTTTCAGCAAGCAAGGTTGTATAGCAACTTAAATAGTGAAAGAAAGAAGTGATTCAAAGAAGGTGAGGTTTCTCTTTTCCTATGTGTATTTTTTAAAAGGTCTTTTTCTTTTGATCATAAAATTTATTGTGTGGCACTGAAGGATAGACACTGGAATACTAACCACAAGAGTGGCAGTTCACAAAACACTACTGCAAAAAACCAAAAGAGACTTACAAAGATGGAAGACTGTACCATGCTCCTGGATAGGAAGACTTAACATTGTGAAAATGTCAATACTGCCCAAAACAATTTACACATATAATGCAATACCAATCCAGATTCCAACGACATTCTTCAAAGAGATGGAAAAAGCAATTACAAACTTTAT